CGAGCCGGGCCAGGAGCAGGAGGCAGGCCCCGGGCAGCCAGACGCCAGGAAGCATCTCCTAGACCCAGGCGGGAAGAGAAGGGGAGAGGGGTGTCTGTGCGGGGCTGTGCGGCCCGGTGGCCCGTGCGCGGGCCAGGGAGCCAGGAAATGGGCATCGGCTGTCAGGGAGGCCAGCCGTTTGGACAGCAGTTTATGTTGTTGTTTTTTAAAGAACTCGTGTATTTATTTATTTTTATTTTTTGTTAATCCTCACCGGAGGATACTTTTCCATTGCTTTTTATTTTTTTTTCTTTTTCTTTTTTTATTGCTTAAAGTATTACAAAGGGTATTACATATGTGTCCTTTTTTTTCCCCCGCCCTTGACAGTCCCCTGGCCTCCCCTACCCCCCAGTGTCCATTGCTTTTTAGAGAGAGTGGGAGGGAGGGGGAGAGGCAGAGAGAGAAACATCAGTGTGAGAGACACATGGATCTGTTGCCTCCCACAGGAGCCCCGATCAGGGCCAGAATGGAGCCTGCCCTTGACCAGAATCAAAGGTCCAGGCTCTATCCACTGAGCAAACCAGCCAGGGCCAGTTTATATTTTTAATGGTTTTCCTACCACCTGTGGCAGCCTTGCAAGGTCGGCAGGACCAGGGTTCTCGCCTCCCCACAGCGAGGAGGTCTCATGGCCTGTCCACAGCCAGCTGCAGGTTGGCAGCAGGCCCAACGCCTGGGTCTCCTGGGCTCCCCATGTTATTCCAGTAGAGAGGAAGGGGCAGAAAAAAATGGAAGAAAGGAAGAAAAGACTACGTGGATCGGGGAATTTTTAAGATAATACGTGAACTATGGGCAGATTATTCCTAAATTGGAAATTTTTAAGCCACACTCTCCCTGAGTTTCCAAATCTCAGCACATTCCAGAGCCTCGTTATGAAGAGACCGTGCCATCTGCTCTCTGCACATCTGCTGAGAGTGAAGGCGGCCTCAGCACAAGCGGGCTCTTATCTTGAAACCAGCCCGTGGGCCCCTTAGTACAGCCTCAGCACAAGAGGACTCTTATCTTGAAACCAGCCCGTGGGGGCTGAAATGCTGCCCCTGACATCCCACCCCCACCAGCAGGGGGCCATGGAGCTCCCCAAAGCGTCCAGACAGGAGGTCCCAGCTGCAGGGATTTCATAGACCAGTAGATTTTGTTTTAAATAAGGTAAGGGGACCAGGTTTTTAGTTTACTAAATATTATTTTTTAAGAAAAAATATGCCAGCATCCACCCACAGGTCACAAGTCGGTGATTCAGCTTAAAACTGTGAAGAAACGCCGAAACCGGTTTGGCTCAGTGGATAGAGCGTCGGCCTGCGGACTAAAAGGTCCCGGGTTCGATTCCGGTCAAGGGCATGTACCTGGGTTGCGGGTACATCTCCTACGGAGATGTGCAGGAGGCAGCTGGTCGATGTTTCTCTCTCAGCGATGTTTCTGACTCTCTATCTCTCTCCCTTCCTCTCTGTAAAAAATCAATAAAATATATTTAAAAAAAACTGTGTTTTGTCTATGTTTCAGTCCTTTCTATGCATGAGCCATTAGGCCAACATGTAAAAACAGAGAAGTATCACATTAAAACTCCAGATTTCAGGTGCTGGCTGGTATGGCTCAGTTGGTTGAGCATCATCCCATGCACTGAGAGGTCATGGTTGGATTCCTGGTCAGTGCATATGCCCAGGTTGCAGGCTTGATCCCCAGTAGGGTTCATGCACGACGTAGCCAATTGATGTTTCTCTCTCCCTTTCCCTTCCTCTCTCTCTAAAACATCAATGAAACATATTTAAAATTTTTTTAAATAGTCCAGATTTCCAGATGATTTAGGGGCAGTGGACTCACATTCCTACCTGACAAGACCAACTGATCTGGGCTTAGTTGCCCCATTAGGGGGAGTACACTTCCCAGGTTACTGCTGTTCCCACCCCACTATGATCTATATGTCTTGTAGTGGTTCAGATTCCATAAGTTAGAATTCCAGCTTTACCTAGCGCCAGCTATGAGACCTTGGGCTTGTTACTTAACCCGTCTGTGCTTCAATTTTTTATCTGTAAAATGGAGATAATTATAGTGTCTATTGTTAGGTTAATTTGGGACTAAATGAATAAATACAAGTAAAGTTTTTAGATCAGTGTCTGAGATACTAGTAGAGAGAGCAATTAATAAACTATGTAAATTATTGTTAAATGTTGCAAGCCACCATCATTTCAGAAAAAAAAATTATCTGAACACCAAAAAAGTAGGAAAAACAAAATGCCTTTCAAATAAAATACATTTGGAAGGAAGAGAGGATGAGGAAGGGAGAGAGGGAGGGAGGGAGGGAGGAAGGGAGGGAGGGAAGGGAGCTAAAGAAGAAAGGAAGGAAGGGAGGGAGAGAGGGAGGGAGGAAGGAGGGGAGGAAGGAGGGAAGGAAGGAAAGAAGGAAAATCCTCACGCAACATAATCCTAATTCTTCGCAATTGTCCTGTTTCAGTAAAAACTCACAACTGGCCCCTAGCTGCCTCTCTGCTGCCCTCTTCTGGCTGCCTCCTCCATCGCAAAATTCAGCTTCAGGTTAAAGGGCTTCGTGTGTGACAATCTCCCACAAACTCGGTGCTTACGAAAGCCCCTCTATAGACACTAAACAGTTTTTCCAGGAATTTTTCAGCCTGTAGAGAAGGGACAACTTCTCCCTGAGAAACAGCACACGTCCCTGAGGCCCCTCGGTGCACACAGACGCTGAGTTAGCCACAGGAGGTGGATTTCACACCGTGGGGGTATGACAGCAACTGCCTGCCGGCTACTCAGGGCATGAGAGAGCAAGGAGCAAGCCTAAGGCTTCCACACTACAGCAGTGGACAGGGCAGGGCACACAGGCCTGCTCCTCACATTGGCAGGACCCATAGTGAGAGCATACAAGGGACCTCGCCCACTGTCTGTCCCCTTCTCTCCCCCGACTCTCTCCAGTGCTGTGAGTAGAGACCTCATATTCACTTCCGTGAAATGGTTGGCCTGGGGAGGCAATCCACAGGAGCCCTGGGTCCCGGATACTGAAAACAGGCTTTAGAATGGGGCACAGCCTCTGATGGGTGTGTCCCTTTGATCTTGCAAACTTCTCACCCCTTGGGATGTCATGGTGGTAGGAGGGCCAGACAGGGCCTCTAAAGTGTAGGCCAGACACCCCCTTGCCCCTGTCTACTGGGGCAGAAGGAAGCAGGGATGGTACTCACGGTGAGGAACGCTGATAATTTCAAAGGAGCCATGTTTAACCGTTCTCATATCACTCTAGAATGGCTAACGGTTTGTGCTCTAGAGCAGTGGTTCTCAACCTTCCTGATGCCGCGACCCTTTAATACAGTTCCTCATGTTGTGGTGACCCCCAACCATAAAATTATTTTTGTTGCTACTTCATAACTGTAATTTTGCTACTATTGTGATTCATAATGTAAGTATCTGATATGCAGGATGTATTTTCATTGTTACACATTGAGCATAATTAAAGCATAGTGATTAACCACAAAAACAGTGTGTAATTACATCTGTGTTTTCCGATGGTCTTAGGCGACCCCTGTGAAAGGGCCGTTCGACCCACAAAGGGGTCGCGACCCACAGGTTGAGAACTGCTGGTACAGAGCCAGTCCGGATTCAAACCTTGTCTCCATCCCTTATAGCTCTGGGCCTTCACTGAATTGCCTCACCTCTCTGTGCTTCAGTGTTCTCATCTTTAAAACAATGAGCTTCAGTACTACCTCCCTCATGGGGTTGTTCTGAGGACTGAACGAGAAAATGCTCTGAAAGCCCAGACCCCGAGCCGGCACAGTGGACACCCTCTTGGTTCCCCACTTGCTGCCATCGAAAGGGCCGTTTCCTGTAAAGGTCTAAGAGCACTCATTTGGAAATGGTCTGTTCTTTTTACTTAGTGAAGTGTTGTGGGTCCCTGGACTTTTCATTCTACTGAATCACAGCCTCGCACAGTATGGGAGCCGAGGATCTGTTTTGCACAAACTTCTGGAGTGACTGCTATGCGCACTCCATGTTGCCAGCTATCGTTGTTGTTTTCATGCCCAGAGCATTTCGGTTTCCATCCAGAGCAGCAGTACTCACCCTGATTCCTCGGAGCCCCGGCCAGCCCCAGCTGCTCTGAGGTAGTCACAGAGGTTGGCCATGGAATAACGGATGAGATCATTCAACCACCTTCTTTATGGACCGGCGAGGTTGGTGACTACAGCACTTTTTCTGCCTCTTTCCTCCCAGCCCAGGGAAAGGGGTAATTGTTTTGTCCTTGGTTTAGTCAAGCACAGATTGTAATGGCTTTGGCCAGGATGCCCCGGACTTGGGCCCCTTCCCCACCCCACCCTCAAGAGCAGGTCCCTGGGGGCTCTAGAGATAGGAAGTGCCCCTGCCTGGGCACTGTGGAGGTTGGCACCCGAGTGGACAGTGGGGCAGCAGCCAGAAGATCCCTGCTTCCCATCTGGAAAACTACTTCTGCCCTTATGTACAGACTAGAAATGGCCACAAAAATGTTCCATGCTCTCAGCAAGCCTGGTTTTTCTGGGGGAGGGAAGGAG